ATGGCGAAGGCGCGGGGCGAGGAGTTCTGGCGCACGGCGCTGCGCGGCGCGCGCTACGTGGTGGCGCCCATGGTGGACCAGAGCGAGCTGGCCTGGCGGCTGCTGAGCCGGCGCCACGGGGCCCAGCTCTGCTACACGCCCATGCTGCACGCCCAGGTCTTCGTGCGGGACGCCAACTACCGCAAGGAGAACCTGTACTGCGACGTCTGCCCCGAGGACCGGCCGCTCATCGTGCAGGTAGGCCCCGCGCATGTCCGGCCAGCGCTAGCAGCACCCCTGTGCAGCGCGGGCAAGGCCGCGATCAGTGCCATGATCGCCACGGCCGGGGCAGGCCGAGAGCCCCGCGTGTTGCTGGACAGGGTGCAAGGCGCGTGCAGGCAGCACAAGCTGCGCCGGCCGCGACTCTGCGTCGAGCTCAGGTGCTCGCGCCGCCCTTCCAGCCACGCCGGGGTCGTTATAACGGGAGCTTTGGGGTTTTAACCCCAGAGCTCCCGCATAGCAGCAGGACTGTGCCTGGCCCCGCGGAGCGTGCCACTCGCTCCTGCACGTCCGGCCCAGGGGCCGGGCAGCACCCCGCGGGGGGCAGCTTCCCCTCGTGGTTTTGGGAGGGGTTTATCAGACCTGACGCAGGGCCCAGCTTCCTCCCGCGCAGACGTCTGACCCACCGCCATAAAGCAGCCCCGAGCTGTAGCAAGCACCAGCCTCTGCTTTCCCAGGCCCCAGCTCTCCACCTTCCCAGGCCCCAGCTCTCCACGTGCGCCGCAGCGAGCTGCTTAGGCCTTCCCATCGCTTGTGCTCACTTGCCGCTACATGGGGCGGCTTTAGTTTCTCTCTCAAGCTTGCACTCACCTCCTCCTTGGTGTCCGAGCCCGGCACGGGCCCATTCTTTAGCCGCTGTAGTTCAGGGAACCAGCACCGGTTACACAGGAGCCTCCACAGCAAGGTGCTATCCTCCCTGTAGGGAGCTGGGGCCTGACCCCTCCAGGACGCCTGAGAGCCCCCACAGCCATGAGTCTTGCTGCCGGCAAACTGCCTTATATCTCCCAGCAGGCCTGGGGCCAGTCACGTGCTGGCCAGGTGGAGGGAGCAAATTGGGCGCAGCTGAGACTGAGCCCAAGCTCGTTATGGGGCTGGTTTTCCCTGTAAAGATCCCAGCTGGTGTGGTTGCTTATTGTGGTGGTCACTTTTGGTGGAGAAACTGGCTCTGAACAGGCAGCGCTCAGTGCTTGTTCCTCACCCTGTTGGGGGAAGCCCAAATCCAAGCAGGCTTTTATTTCAGTGTCAGTACGAACAAGTTTGGTTCATGGTGGGTTTTGCAGAACCTGTAAAAAAAGCCTGACTTTGGAGCCTGGCCTGACCGCGCCCTCCTGACCAAGACAGCGCACAGCAGGCCTCATTTGCTTTTAACACATTGTTGTGTCCGGTTCGTTAGCTGAAGTGTTCGTTTGGCCTGAGGTGCTGCGCAGCTGGCTAGTGGCATATTCTAGCTGTGTGTGGGCTCAGTATCCACTTCTGACAGCTAATGGGGTTAATTGGGATCTAGGAGTCAAGAGATGACTGAAGAACCAGTTGTCTCTCCGTGCCCTTCTTTCCCCACACCTGTGCACATTCAGACTGCTTCAGCTCTGCCCAAGTGGATCTGAACCGTGCGTCTTCCCGTCCGGTGTTTGCCCCCATCAGGCCTTGGCACGTGTGAACTGGGCTGTTAATCTGTGTATTTCTCCATGTTTCCACGCCCTTGGAGTTGGGGAATCTGGACTGCTGAGCTTTTGGGGTGCCGTCATTTCGAACTGTGGCTCTGCAGCTAGGCAAGTGTCACAGGTTACATGCTCCCTTCGCTTGAGAAGTGCTGTTTGCCTTCAATCTGACCCATGCACAGTGTGTGTCCACATACTCTTGTCATGGGCTCCTCCATGACGGTGTGTAACCGTAGTATTGTGCCAGTGCACGGAGCTGACCATGGCCTGACTTCTTACGTGTGAATGTCTTTTTCAGTTCTGTGCCAATGACCCTGAAGTGTTTGTCCAGGCTGCAGTGCTGGCTCAGGATTATTGTGATGCCATAGACCTGAATTTGGGTTGTCCTCAGATGATTGCAAAGAGAGGTACTGTATGTACAAACCTGAATGCTTAATGAACCAAGCAGAACTGTTGCAAATAAAGAAAAGCACTTGATGTACAAACCTAAGCTCCTAATGAACAAACCAGGGGCTAATCTCTACCCTATTACAATCAATTAACTTATGTTCAGCCTTTGTACGAGTGGCTGCAGCTCTTTGAAATCAGGCGTGTTTATACCACTTTAGCCAGTACTGGGCTCATGTCCTGTAACTAACTGAAGCCAAAACCAGATGCTTTAGCACGTGCTGTAGCACATAGCTGCTTGAACTAGAGCTTTGTAAAGCACTCCTGGATCAACTCGTGTACCCAGAATTTTCTTCCCAGAATGATTAAGTACCAGAGAACTAGAACATGTTTTGCTGATTGCTCAAATGGTCAAAATATTTCCTAAATTTGCGCTTGGAATAGATGTTACTATGCCTGCTCTTCAGGGTTCCCCAGAGTGCCCTACCACGGTGCTTGCACAGAGCTCCTTTGTCATAACCCTTAGGAAATCAAGGCTGCAGAAGGTGCAGGAGGCTGCGTGGATGCCTGCGGGAGGGCCGTTCTGGGTGGGGTCAGGTCACTTGAGCTGGAGGAAGGACGGGGAAACGAAAAATTCTAATTTCTGAGCCTCGCAGTGCCTTACGGGCTGGTAGACCCTGGCTATTTCCGCGAGTCCTGGCAATAGGACATGAGCTGGCCGTGTCAGAATCCTCTTTGGTGAGCCAGCCCCAGGGAGCAGCAATGCAAGCAGGGTGGGGGCTTTGCTTATTCTGTAAAACTGCTGTGGACTGGGAGGCAGCATGGTTTAGCTGCTCGGGTTTGGGCAGAGGCGAGGGTTCATCAGTGAGGAAACTGAACACAGCTGGAACCTGCGTGCGCAGAAAGCACAAAGCATCAGGGTCACCACTTGTGTGTCTGTGCCAGCCCGTATGATGCTGTTTTGTTGTAGGGCACTATGGCGCATTCCTGCAGGAGGAGTGGGATCTTCTCCAGAGAATGAGTAAGTCTCCAAAGGGGTCTGTCTGACTTTGGGAGGGCATGCAGGGCAAGGGGCTTGTCCCGCTCCTGCGGTATGTGCGTGCTCTTGGCACCAGAGCACACTGGTAGGTCCACATTTAGAAGACATGTGACTGGAAGCACAAGCAGACTTCAGCGTCTGAAGTCCTGCTTACAGCGCCCAAGTCCGGATTTACGATCCACTCTGAGTCGCTGAACAAATAGGCACTTGCTTTGGATTTTGAAGGTCCCCGAATGCTGCTAGTCGCACCCGGCTGCATGCCCAGAGCTGCCCCAGGCACGTTCTGTCTCCTGCCAAAGTTCAGTCAGGACCCAGCACTCGGCAGTGCACCCTGGGGCCGGGGCTGGGAGGTGTTCCTGGAGCATAGCCCAAAGGCACCGCCAGGACTGGGCTCCCCACAAAAAGCTGTTGTGACACTTTCCTGTAGAACATGGCTTCCCATTTCCCTGCTTTTGGGTTGTCCACGGGACAGCAGAGTGGAGCAGGGCCCGTATCCTGTGCCTCCCCTGGCCAGGGCGCTGTCGAGGTGTTTATTCTTAGGCTCCTCTCTGACCCAGCTGACCTGGCCTTCTCATGGCTCAGCTTTCCTAGGAGAGGCAAGCAGGGTGCCACCCGGAAGAATGGATACGCTTGGGGCTGGAGCAGTTTCCTGGGAGGTGGGAGATGCGGGAGGAAGGAATTGAACCCAGGCTTCACCAACTATTCCAACTACCAGGATGTTCTCTAGCAGGCAGACACCTTCAGCCGTACCCTGAAATGCAGGCATAAGCAAGACGCCCTCCTTTGAAAGAATGGAGAGGACTCCTCAGGAGAGGTCTGGGCTCTGCGTCCTGAGGGAATAGGGCCTGCAGTCAGGCAGCTTGCTGCAGAAGGGGCAGGACTGCAGGCCCAGCCCATGCTTTCTGGCTGGCTGGCTCTAGGGGTCCAGACATGCTGGCTGCGAGGCACCTGTCCTGGCAGAGCACTGCTGAGGGACCCCAGGTGCCTGACACGGGTCCTGGGTCACGTGGCAGGGGCACGAGGGTCTCGGCCCACAGTCTCCATCAGCTGTCCAGCACAGGGCCTCTGCCTAGCCACAGCGAGGTAGCCGTTAGCCTGGAAGATGGTTGGCAGACAGTGAGTGGGAAGTCAAGGCTGTCGTGGCTGCAGAGCAGGAGGAGCAGGGGTGCTGTGCTCAGAGCTGAGACTGGATAAGGACGAAGGGAGCCGGGAAGGTCCTTAAAGGTGAAGTCTTGGTATTGGAAACGGTGGGGCCAGTGCATGGGGCTATTACAGGGGCGGGCAAAATGCGGCCCGGGGGCTGGATGCGGCCCGCCAGCCCATTCTAGCCGGCCTGCGGGGCCCCTGAAACATTTAGAAAATGGATATTTATCTGCCCCGGGCTGCCTGGCACGTGGCCCTCGATGGCTTGCCAAAACTCAGTAAGCAGCCCTCTGCCCAAAATAACTGCCTGCCCCTGGGCTATTGGACGCCGTCCTCACCAGAGGTCAGTTGGCCTTATGCTGTGCTACCCCTGCCTTAACCCATGAGTGGGCAGGGCAGGAGAAACGCTGCAGAGGGGCAGGCAACTGGCTTTGGCCATGCTTTTCCACAGCTGATGGCTGGCTTTGTGGAGGCTGGAGTCTTTTTATAGCGTTGTGCAAGCCACTCACCTGTCTTTTCAATCCTTTCCCAGTTTGGCTGGCTAACGAGAAGCTCTCTGTTCCCATCACATGCAAAATCCGTGTTTTCCCAGACATTGACAAGACGGTGAAGTACGCACAGATGCTGGAGAAGGCTGGCTGCCAGGTAAGGGGCAGCTCTGCCTGCTCCTGTGTCACCAGGGCGTCCCCAGAGAAAGCACCTTCCAGCCCCAAATCTCCCTGCTTCTGGCAGGTGGCTAGGTGATACTATTCTACAGGTCGAAAAAGTAAGACACAGAGCTGTTGTGAGTTAGTCACAGTTGCACACGGTCATGAGCTTTGTCAAGTTCAGGCCACTGCTCTAACCATTGCACCATGCTGCCTCCTTCACTGGGAGCAAGAGTCCAGGGGCTTGCCTGAATGACGTGCCTTCTGCTGGCACGCAGCTGCCGCAGGGAAGTTGCCAGAGCGTGTACATGCCCACCTGGCCAGCTGTGCCCGGCTTCTTTACGGCAGCTGTGCTGGCAGGGCTCCCGGTGCACCCTGGGTGTTGCCAGCTGCGGCAGGGCTCACGGTGGCGGCAGAAAGGGTGCCCTGCACTCTGTGTTGGCTTCCTAGTGGCAGCAGAAACCCCCTGTCGCTTGCAGAGCTGGTGTTGCTCTGCCAGCGGAAGAAAGGGGTTCTGCAGCTGGAGGGGGACTTGGGGCGAGGCCGCAGAAGGGGTTGGGTAATGGCAGCAAAATGGCAGAGCGTAGCTGAGGCAGGACGCTGCAGGAGGCGACCTGAAGCCATGGACTCCCCGGCTGTGAAAGGCCCCATGCACGGAGACGGCCACACAGTGGAAGGGTTGCTAGGGTTTAAGTTCACGAAATTGGAAGGGTCCATCCCTGGTGGAGGGGAACAACTTTACTTCTGTCAGTCTGGCCTTGTCCTCAGTAGCGTACGTGTCCTAAAGAGCACGTCAAATCGCCGTCGGTGTCGGAGGGGTTGTCGGCTTCCCCAGGAAATGCCCGTCCTGCGTGGGGGTGGGCTTCTGAGAGGAGCCCTAAACTAAGGTGCCGTATGTGCCTTTCTGGGGAGCAGACTCCCGACGCGTGGCCGGTTCAGGGAGTTCTGGGGCGGTTCTTCTGCCTCGTGAGCTGAAAATCTAAGCGTAACCTTGGATTTTAGCTGCTCACCGTCCATGGCCGCACCAAGGAACAGAAGGGGCCCCTTGCTGGCGTGGCTTCCTGGGAACACATCAAGGCTGTGAGGTGAGTGACTTGTTCCAGTGCAGAGAGGGAGAGCGCCCAGGGAAGTGTGCACGCAGGTGTGCCCTGTGCCCTTTACCCCATGCCAAGGGCTGAGTCGAGCTTTGTTTCAGCGCGGTAGCATTGCAGGGGAAGCAGGCGTGTGTGGTAGCATAAGAAGCTGTAGCTGGATCAAGCAGACAGTGGACAGGTTGGATTCTGTTCTCTGATTCTTGGTCTCTTCCATGGGGCAGGAAGGCTGTGAGCATCCCTGTGTTTGCAAATGGAAACATCCAGTCCCTCCGGGATGTGGAGGAGTGTCTGCAGAAGACAGGAGTGCAAGGCGTCATGAGTGCCGGTAAGGACGGGGAGCTCTTCCTGCTCAGCTGTGGCTAACGACTGTTGCTGGCGGCCCCACGTCATTGCTCTGTCAGACAGCCCCTCCAGCCGGACTCAAGAAATGGCTTTCATCTACAGCTGACTGCTCCCCTTCTCTCCTCTTCCTGCCCCTTCCCCCTTCTTTAGCCAAAACAGGAATCATTTGCTATTTATATTGGTGTAGTGAGTTTCAAATGGCATTGATTGGCTGACTCAAACAAAAGTTACACAGTCTAGTTAGCTGACACACGCTTTTGGGGTCTTTGTTGCCTTAGCATATTTAAGAACAGCTATAAGCAAACAAATACGTGTCCAGCTATTTTAAGCCTCTCCAGAGCCGTTGGGTGTTGGCTACAGCTAAGGCTGGGGATAGTGATAGGGGTGTGCTGAGTCTCCTGCTAGGAGCAAAGCCAGAGGCTCCTGGCTAGTGTGTTGCCCCAGGTCAAACTGGTCGCTGTAGTTGGGGTCAGGAAGGAATGTTACCCCGTGCTCAGATTGGTGTGGACCATGGTGGAGGGGTTGTCTTCCTCTGTGGGGGGGAGCGTAACCCTCTACCCACAACCTCTTGAGCATATTTTGACATTTCATAGAAGCAAGACCTTGGCTGCTGTGGTTCCTCTGCTTCACCTGTGGCAGATGAGTGTATTAGATCTACATTGCATCAGGGCTGAGGGTAGTCTTATGTAGAGCTTAGATTACGGTTGTATGGGATGGTTTGAATAGGGATGATCCTGTCTCAGGCAGGGGGTTGGACTAGACGACCTCTGCGGGTTAGAGGTGCACCGATACATTGGTCTGATATTGGATTGGCATTGATATCAAGCAAATTGAGTGCATCAGAAATTGGCCTGATGTGGCCGATGAATGCCTCGCGCGTGCGCGCAGCTGCAGCGCAGCACGTAGGCGGCGAGAAGCACAGCCCAGCAGCTTGGAGAGCTGCATGCAGCGGGTAAGGCTGTTGTGGTGGAAGGGGAGGGGGGAAGAGGAAGGGGAAGGGTGTGGGGAGGGCAGACCAAGGCCCCCCTGGTGAGGGAGGGAGGGAGTGGGGCTGGGGCAGGTGCTGCCCAGCTGGGGTGGGGTGGGGCAGGGCACGGGACGGAGCTGCAGCTCACCTGGTGGGGCCTGCAGCTCTCCCCGCCGCGCACACCCCAGCAGGGCACGAGGGAGAGGAGGGCATAAGCCCCTGGATCGGGGTGGGTGGAGGCCAGGGCTGCGCAGGGTTCTTCCCGTGGGAGCTAGGCCACGCTGTGCTTGGAACGGGCAGGGGCAGCACTGGGAATGGGGATGGGGGGCTACGGTGAATTTTGGGGTGTCTGCAGCCCACCCATAGCCTGCTCCCAGGGCCACTGCTGCCCCCCTCCCCCCCAAGCCCAGCCCAGCCCCGCCCCCACTGGAAACAGCCCTCTGCAACCTTGGCCCAGCCCGCCCTGCCCTGCGCAGGTCTGCGGGTACCTGCCCTCCCCCGGTACACTCCCCGGGTGTGTGCAGCGGCGGGAGCCACACCCCCCTCCCTGTGCCCCCCAGACAAGCTGCAGCTCTGTCCCCCGCCCTGCCCCAGCTGGGCAGCACCTGCCCCAGCCCCACCTGCTTCTGCGCCGCAGGGGCTTCCGTCTTCCCCTCCCCTTCCACCACAACAGACTTACCCGCCAGACACCGCTCGTCAAGCTGTTGAGCTGTGTATTGGAAATGAGATTGGTATCGGCCAATTTGCTTCCTTAAAAATTGACTCTTGGTATCGACCCCAAAAATTTCTACCGGTGCACCCCTACTGGGGGTCCCTTCCAGCCATGCTTCTCTGAGTGTTTCTGAATGGCACACTGAAGGGTTGTTACCCAGTGCAAGGGTCTTCCTTGGGGAGTGCTTCCATAAGGTCCCCTAGGACATGACAGGCAGGTGTTCAGAACAGCAGATTAAATCCATGAGCAGATGTAGGCATCGTAGTGCTGAGCGGAGACTGGAGAGTGGCCTGATAACCAGGAAGCCTTCCAGCATGTCAGAGATGGGTATAAAAGGATTGTGAGCAATTATATAGGACAGAAAGTAACTGGGTGCAGGATAATTTGATTTGCTACACAAAGGTTTAGAGTCGATAGCAGGAAAACGTTTGTAATTAGAGGTGCAGCCAGGCGACAGGACATGCATCTCCACAGACAGTTCTTAAGCATAAACCCATCAGGAGTGGCCTAGGTGTACTTCTCTTGCCTTGGGGCAGGCAGATGGACTAAGACGGCTTTGTAAGGGTCCTTTGCATGTGCTGTGTCTGTTCCTGCCTGGGGGAGATTACAGTCGGATTTCAAGATCGGATCACAAGGCGAGGGAGGAGGGGCGGGGTGGTAGCTGACATCACACGCTCATGCAGTTGTGTGCAAGAGGTGGGTTTTTCTCCACTTGAATACAAATGATTGTTTCTCAGCTTGTTGAGACAGGTGGAAAGGGAACGTTTTGATCTGGGGTCTCTTGCCGCATGTTTCTCGGCCTATAGGAAGTGTCTGTGAGGAGGAAGGAACAGCAGAGGGGCCTCAAAGCTACAGTCTTGGTCTGTGGGATATTCTTGGGCACTTTTTGAAGCCTGTATGTCAAGCTAGATGGCAAAGCCAGAACAAAAACAGAGGTTACCACCAAAGGTTTTGAAAGTAGCATAATATCCTCGTCCCCTGGGAGAGCCACAGCTATTTGGTTAGCTTTTGGAGCATGCTGTTACGTGGAGTTGCAATTAGACTGCTCTAGGGATCTGTTCCTGGGTTGGAGATGAAGATGCTGTATACAGGTCATGAAATGGGAAGACGTGCAAGGAAGAGGGACAGAGATTACCGATGCCTTCCAGCACTGCAGGGTATAAAGAGCTCAGTTTGTTCAGCTAATTGCAAAGGAGACTGAAGTGGTTTCATCTCCGGGGACAGAACCCATCAGGAGGAGAAGGTGCTGGGGACTAGCGGGCTCTTGTATTACAAAGACAGTGGAAGCAGGGTAGATTTGAGCTTTATAGGCTAACCAAAGTATATACATTAGGGGTGCACTGATAAAGATTTTTTGGGCTGATACCAATGGCTGATTATTAACCAGCCATATCGACTGAAACCAATCCGATAGCCTATATGCAGCCCAGCCGCTTGGAGAGCAGTGTCCAGCCAGTAAGTCTGTTGGGGGAAGGGGGGAAGGGAAGAGACATGGGGGGCCAGATCGAGGGCCCCACAGTGAGGGAGGGAGTGGGGTTGAGGCAGGGGCAGGGGTGGGCACTGCCCAGCCGGGGTGGGGTGCGGGATGGAGCCGCAGGCAGCTCACCTGGGGAGCCACAGGGGGGCAGGGAGGGGGGAGCGGCTTCTGCCACTGCACACTTAGGGGAGAAGGGGGGGGCATGTGCCCCCCGGGTTTGTGTCTGGGGCAAGGGCAGGCTGTGGCCTTGGGGCCAGGGACTGTGCTGGCTTCTTCCCAGTCAGCAGATGAGCTGGGGGCCTAGGCTGGGGCTGCGCTTGGGGTGGGCGGCGGTGGCACAGCCACCCCTTCCCCCCGTCCTCCCCTGCCAGAAGGTTAGCGCAACCCCTGGCCCCAAGCCTGCAGTGCACGGCCCGCCCTTCCCACCACACACACATCCAAATCCAGGAGGCACATGCCCCCTGTGCCTCCCCCAGGGATGCGCACAGCAATGGGGAGCTGCCCCTCACTGCACACCCCCGCATGCCCCCCAGACGCGCTGCTCACAGCTCCATCCCACACCCCGGCCATCCTGGCTGGGCAACACCTGCCCCAGCCGCACTCCCTTCCTCACCATGGGGGGCCTCGATCTGCCCCCCATGTCCCTTCCCCCCACAGACTTACCGGTCAGACACTGCTCTCCAAGCTGCCCAACTGCATTCCTTTCTGCTTGCATGCTGTGACTGCACGTGGCATTTATCAGTGACATTTTGGGCTATACCGGCCAAAAAAAGCTGACTGCCGAAAATGTCAATACGTATATGTATATTTATGTGTGCATGTATACGCAAGCCTTTGTGAGCTGAAGCTCACGTCATCAGATGCTGTGAAGGATGCTGCTTATGAGGAAAGACAAGACAAGGGCCAGTGGCTGGAAGCTGCAGCCAGACAGGTTCAGAAGCAGATTCAGACCTCTGGTTATGGCAGTGTGGAGCCTAACAACCAGAACAACCTGCCTACGGAGGCGGTAGAGTCCGTGGCTCTTGATATCGCCCAGGCCAGACTCCACACCTTCGTACATGTTCTTTTGCCACAGGGCTCACTACTGCGGTAATGGGTGAAATGTAATGGGCTGTGACACAGAGGAGGTCCAACTACATGATCCCTTCTGTCCTTAATCTCTGTTACTAAACACCTAGCTTATTTGTGGCTGGCAGAAAAGGCCAGGGAATACCTGGTCTAGCTCCAGGAAGCACCAGCTTTCCATGCCTGGCCTCCCCTGCCGCCCCCACCACCCACCCACCAACACACACTTGAGAATTTCTGTTTTGTTCCCCAGAGGGTAACCTTCATAACCCAGCTCTGTTCGAAGGACAAAACCCTCTGGTGTGGGAGATGGCTGAGGAGTACCTGGAGATAGTGCAGCAGTACCCCTGCCCACTGTCCTACGTCAGAGCCCATCTCTTCAAGCTGTGGCATCACCCGTGAGTATCTGCGGAGCGTGCTCACCCTGCCGAGCAAGTTCGGGGATCTTCGGGAGAATTCTGGCCAGGGTCTCGCGTTTGCCGGGGGAGAACACTTTTGGATAAAGCCTTTAACTTTCACAGGCATCTCTGAGAAGCAGCGCTTTTTGTCTGAAGCCGAAGCAATGGCTGTCTACTCCTTTGCTTTGAATGGTATCAGATAATTAGCCATATAAAACCTCCACTTATGGTTAGCTTCACATTAAACAGCTCAGTCATTTGGGGGGTAAGTGAGCTTGTTCAGCATGTGAGCTCTGGTACTGCACTGCATGCTGAACTAGGGAGAATGGCAGCGAGGAGGAGCCAGACTCCTGGAAATTGGCAGACGTGCTGAGAGAAATCTGCAGCTCCTGTAAAGAGGGTATTGTTGTCTTCCCAGCCTGGAGACAAGGAATGAAAGTAATTGGGTGTTTGGCATTTGTCTCAGGCTGCAAGTTTACCAGCAGCTGCGTGATGAATTGGCAAAAGCGAAGACTCTGGAGGGCATCGCAGATGTGAGCAGGGAGCTGAAGCTACGTTGCCAGGTGCCGCTGTGGGCCCCGAACTCCCAGAACACTGGCCTGACCGAGACAGCCTGCGGGCTGCCCCATGCACCTGATCTGCCCCACTCATCCGCTGCCCTGGGACCTGGCAGAACAGCCCAGCTCCCTAAATACCATCCTGACTGCACACACTGGTTCCTGTACAGGGTGTAATACTGCCTTCAGGGTTAAGATCTGCTTCAGGGTTAAGATGTGTTCAGTTGCGGGGGTGGGGGGTGTCCCCACATGTAGCTGTCAGTAGCCAGTTGTTTAAAATTCATGTTATGCCCGTCCTGGCATGCGAGGCTGCAGACTATGGACCATGAGACCAAAGGTGTCATGGATTTAATTGTATCCTGCAGGAAGAGATCACCAATCAGAAAGAAGGAGAAAAGCCAAGGGGGGGATTGCCTTTCTTCCACTGGATCTGCCAGCCTTACATCAGGCCAGGGTAAGTTGTCCACGTTGGCATTGGTCCCAAGAGAACTTATGGGACAGGAGGCAGGTGTGACCCTGTCTCCACACATGAGCTTCCAATTCTCCTCCCAAAAAAGAGTCAATTAAAACAAACAAGCAAACACCTGGATGCCTCTAAAATGGCATGTCCGGGAAGAAAATGAAAAACAAAAAAAAGCAGATCCACTGGAGCTTAAAAGAAGGCCTGCATATGCTACAGCTGCAGTTCCTTGACCACGTGCTGTCAGCACAGGTGACAGACCCCTCTCTGCTCCTTCGGCAGATGCAAGCGGCATTTGTCCAAGTGCCTTTTACATGAGGAATGGTTTTGTGCACGAGTGACTGCCTTAGAGTACTGGCAGGCTCTAGAGCGAAGACTGGGGTTGCAGAAAACAATGACCAACTAGGAGTTGTCATGCCCTGCAAGGATCAGAGTTAATTCTCTCTGGGAACACAACATTATATGTCATTAACTAAGTTTGCTAGTGCCCCTCCCTAGCCACCAGCTTGGGAGAGCAGATCTGCCGTTCGCTGGTAGCAGCCCTTGAACTCCATGCTGTGTTACAAAGCCACATTCAAACTTCAGTTATGCTCCTGCTGGCATGGCTGTGCCAGCTGGTGCATTGTACCTAAGCTCCTGTGAAAGTTTAGCTAAAACACCTAATTGTCCCCTTGTGTGACCCTACAATGATTCCAGCCCTTTCAGGCCAAAGGAGATGTGCAAGGAAAACGGAAGCAGTGGGACTGAAAAGAGCGTGCGAGGGAAGCGGTCCTTGGAGGACGAGGAGGATGGACACTCCGATCTGTCAAAGAACAAACAAAAGAAAAAGTTGAGAAATCCAAGCAAGAGCTTTGATCCATCTCTGAAACGTAAGGCAACCTGTCCTCTTCCTACGTGGGGTGTGGGAAAGCGGCTTGCATCATCTCCCAGCAGCAGCCACCACCGCCTTGTTTCTCCCCTCGCTCTCCTTAGCTGCGGAAAGGTTTTCTGCAAGCGAAGCAAAAGGTGGGGTCGAAACCTTTGGGAACCGGACCCTTGATCCCGGGGCAGGCAGGCAGTCGACCCCTCAGACTGCGCGGTTTAATTTCAAGGCGCATTGAGTACCCAGTTGGAAGCAGCAGCGGCCGCTGTTGTTGAAAGCCAAAATGCACGTCCGTTTTAAGCAGCTTCCTCCACTTGTTCAAATTCCTTGGGACTGGGATTTCCCCAGGCTGGGTTTACCCACAGGGTTTTCTCTCTTTAAAAGAAAGTTATCAAGGCCTTTTCAGTCTTCCCATGTGGAAACTGTTTCCTCAAAAAGTCCCCTTGCAAGCTGCAAGGCTGTGTGACCCCAGAGCTTCAGCCGTGTGGTCTTGGACACCCTTGGCGGTCTGGGATAGTGCATAACCTCCTCTCTCCATCTTTTCCAGCCAAATATGCAAAATGTGACCAGTGTGGAAACCCCAAGGTAGGTTGACCCCTCCCCCCTTGCCAGTGCCTTGTGAAGCCTGGTGACAAGAGCCCAGCGAACCATGCCTAGCACAGCTGCTGCTCTGGCAAAGGCCTTTTTCTAATTTGACAGAGGACTTCAGCAGAGGCTGAGGTGAAGCTGCTGATCCGAACAGCTCGCTGGAGCCCGTCTGCCACGCCCGTTCGTGGAAAGAGTAGTCTGGCTTGTGCGCTGAGCTGCTGCTGGTTAGGACTTGGAGAGAGTCGCATTATTAAATATTAGCCTCGCCCGCATGCTTAGATGCAAATCCCTAAACAGAAGAACTCCCAGTAATCATAGCATGGGGAGTCGGCTGGCTGCTGGGTAGACAAGGCTTGTGCTGCATTTGTCTCTCCAGCTTTCTGAAAGGATTAACAATGTGAGTGAGCCTGTTGCTGAGAAGTGCCAGGACCAGGTCCTGGGTAGCAGCTGGGCAGCTATGACAGCAGGAAATTGAAAGGCAGACCAAGACATGAAGCCGAGGCACAGTCCAGTCTGCATCTCGTGCACGCATGTGTTTGGCGCTGCACGGCAAGGCGGACAGGGAGGAGAATGACCCCGTCAGCCCTGGGGCTTCCATTAGTAAGGGGGCATTCACCTGGGTTATCAGGGCTCATCCAGCCTTCACCACTGGAAAGGTTTGCTAATCAAGCTCATCCCAGCCCATGGATAGCAGGAGCATTTGGACTCCAGGGTGCAAACAAATGCAGGTATTTGAAGAGTCCAGCTGTTCCCCGTAAAAGGCATACAGCCCCTCGTAGCAAATAGAGGTGGGCCGTGCTTTTATTACAGAGCTTTCCATTCCTAATTGGAACAGAAAGCCACAACCGTGACTCTTTAACAGATGTAGCGCAGAAAGTAAGAGGCATCTTTAGGGCTTTGAAGCTTTTTGCTGCTAGCACTCTGTGTGTGTTGCACAGCGCTCCCAACACGCTCCATGTGCAGGGATCATGTGGCACAGGTTTTTGCCAGAAATGAAAGGCAGAAAAGTGTGGCAAATCAGTTGAATAAAATAGATGAAGTTTTATGCCCTCCTTCTTCAGCTGCCAAACAGCCCGGAGTCCTTTCAGCTCATATTCCTGGATTCTGTCTCACAGCCTAGCTTATTGTTCTCAAACACATGGACACACGTTAGGCTGACAATATGGGGGTGGTTTCCGTGGTCAGATTACATGCTTATGCTGGGTGGCACTTTTTCAGATAATGCTTCTGAGGAGAAATAGCAAAAACTAACACAGTTAAACACGTCTCCAAAATAAGTTCAAGGATTTTAGCTGATCCTTCCCTGAACAGAGGGCTGGACTGAACACGGCCTTCCGAGGCCCTCTCCAGCCTGTCTGCCTTTCTGGTGAAGTGTGGTGGGATTTTCTGTCAGGCGGGGTGGTTTCCCTGGCAGTGGGCATTGAGGTGCTAACCCTGGAATGGTTTCCCAACAGCACAAAGCAGTCCTTACCACACAGGCTTGCATTTCATTTCTACACTCTCGCCACCGCCATTCACTGCAGCAGACTAAAGCCTGACTGCCCCATTGTTGGGTGCAAGAACCCGTGAGAGAGAGCTTGCTTTAGGCATTGCAGGCGCGCAGGGCTGGACTTGTGCTGCCTGGAAACTCTTTCTTGAAGAACTTTTTTCTTCGCTGAGCTAATGCGTCTCTGTGTTTGTTCCAGGGGAACAAATGTGTGTTTAACCTGTGCCGAGGGTGCTGCAAGAAGAGAGCCTTTAAGGAGACAGCAGATTGTCCAGGCAAGTGCTGCTCTCCTAGGCCACCCTCAGCCAAAGGGCACTGAGCTACTGTATAACAACCAACCGGCTGAACGAGAACAATGAACACAGCGGGGAGGGAGGGGACAGCTCTGCTTCCTCATGCCTGTGGTTTTTCCCTTTTAAGCAACACAAATTAAACAGCCTTCAAGCTGTTTCATTAATATAAGCAGCCGTGTGTTCTGCCTTTCAGAGCAGGCCTGTGCTCGGCACTGGCGGCTGCGGGGATGCCGCGGGAAGAGCAGCAGCAGTTCAGCCTCAGGGTGCACCAGTGCCAGCCTAGTGCGGCAGTGTCCATGTTCCCAGCAGGCTGTAGCCTCCCCACCCTGCTCTGCTCTCCCCCCACCCCCAGGCTCTTCAGTGTCACTTGACTTTTGTCCCCCTTCTTGCTTCAGGTCATGGATTACTTTTTAGAACCAAATATGAAAAGTCCCTTGTGTGGAAAAGTGGCCAAACACAGCCACAGAGGCTCGAAAGGACAACTGCCGATGTGGTGGAGTCTGCCGCACTCAAGGAGGTGATCGACAGGGCAGTGTGAGACCTTGGAAACCGGAGTCTACTCGATCTGTTTGCAGACCTGCCTCCCTGGGCCAAAGAACCCACCATCCAGAGCATGACCAGCTGCTGGACGAGCTCCACAGATTTGTTCTTCATTCTGGATGCGCTGTAGTTAATGGAGACGCTTACTCAGGGAAATGTCCTGCCTTTGAAATAAAAGGATGCACGTAAAGTTCTCATGATGTGTTTGAGACTTCAACGGACTGAGCCAAATGTGATGGCCTGAAAATGCTGCAGTTGGGGTTGCGGTTGGGGGAGGAGGGAATGCGTGCTGAGGTCATGACCTGCCTGTCATACCTTTATTAGCCCTCTTGTGACATTTTAAAATGGGGAAATAAATCTTTTTCAATTAGAACAGCCTCCTGTGCTGATGGAAATGCGAACAGCTGGACAGACGCAGGTGGCAGCGTCTGGGGGAGGGGGTAGCGAAGTGGCATTGTCAAGGCAAGGAAGCAGCTACATCTAAATGTTGGTTTTGGGCCCCGTGGTGCTTCGGCCTGCACATGGCTGCCTGCCTTAGGCAGGAGTGCACCGTATTGATCAGGGTCCCTGTGTGCAGGTCCGTACACGACCCTGGGCCTCAAAGGCCGAAGAGGCAGAGGACGTGCAGTAGGCAGTAAGACCTAGTCTTACTCAGAAGAAGCAGAGCCAGTGGCAGGTCCGTGGTCACGTACTGACCCTGGGGCAGAGCCAAAACCCAACCCCCTCATTTCCTCACTCCAAGTCCAGTACTTGCCTGCACGACCACCCTCCCACTGTCTGTCCCAGGGAAAGCTGTGGAAGGACAGGGGTGGGGGCATTCACAAGGGGAGGCTCTTCTGCACTGGCAGAGGTAGGTGCTCAGAGCCTGCTGCACACAGTAGGAACCCCCCTCCCCTCAACGTGTGCATCCTGCAGCACCAGTACTCCAGGGAGGGAAAGGTGCCCCGGCTGTCTCTGGTGTACTGCAGAGCTGCACAGCATGGCTGGCCCAGGTGTTACACACACAGGGACTTGCACCATTCAGTTGCCTCCTGACTAAAGACTTAAACCAGATTAAGATGTTTCCTCAAAGCTGGGGCTGCTGGCCAGTTGCCATGCCAGCCTGCCCACGGGCACAGGGAGTGGTGGCATTAAGGCTTCAGCATTAATGCAATGTATGTGGCAGAAAGAGCGAGGTGCCATCACCGCATCCTTTTACAGTGACAACGCTGTGTCCCAAAGCCTCCTAGACCTACTGGGCTGTTGCAGGAAAGATGCTGTGATGGGTGAGACATGCCAGGACCTGGGCTGTGGGTGAAGCAGGTGGTGCTGGGCTCACGAGCAGGCTGCAGTCACCCACAGAACCAGCTAGCACAGCTCTGACACCAAATCCCTTTCCCGATGCCTGGAGGCTTCATGCAGTGGTTGCAAAATGGCCAGTACTAGCCCTCCTGCCGCCATGGCATGGAGCCATCGTGCCATCGGTTCAATGCACTGGTTTAGGGTTCCTGCCCCGCTGGCCTGGCCGAGCAGACTGCGCAGACAGTGCCACCAAGTGGGTTTTAAGGTCACCCGCATCCAAACAGTGTATAGCCTGCCAGCTGGTGGGCAGGGGGAGGGATGGACACGCGCACCCCCCTTCCCCTGCATCACCCATGCTGCTGCAGCATGGGGTGGGGCATGCTCCAGGCTCCCCTTCCACGCCTTTAGCCTGCGGCAGCAGTCAGGTGTAGCAGGGCCTGAGAAGGGGATTGGGGCAGCTATATGGGGAGGAGCCAGCAACTGGAGCACTTTGGGAAGGTTGGGGAAGGGGGTGGGGTGGGGTGCCTGCATCACACGTGCAGGGCAGTGGAAGGGTGCCTGGCTCTCGCTCTGGTGTGGCCCACATGCCCTGCACCCCTCATCCTTCTGCAATCTCTGGTGTGCCCCCCACCCCCTGGGTAGTGTATGGCAGTTGTGCCCTACCCAAGATGCTCAGCAATTCAACAGCGCGGTCTGCAAGCAGCTGTAGGGGGGAGGGCTCAGCACAGGGTCCAGCCACATGCAGTATGACTGTCTCAGTGGAGTAAACACCTGGCACTTGCTGCTGGGTCTTCAGCCCTACTTTCTCTCAGTGCCACCCACTGGCCGAGCAGTGGTAAGGGCATGATGCAGCTGCCAGGGCTTGAGGAAAGGTGAAGGCTTCAGTTTGCATCACAGATGCAAACAGTGCACCGGCACTGAGGCAGCTCCTACACTGGCCTGAGCATGTCAGCTGCTGTGGGGTGGGAGAGGTGGGCTGTGGCTTCAGGGCTTGGTGGCTGCATAAAGGGATCAGGTGTCACAACACCCGAGCCGTGATGAAACCCAAAGCTGGGGTGCCAGTAGCAGGGCAGGGAGCCGAGGAACTAGAATCACAGAGAAGAGGGGCTGGCAGGGACCTGCAGAGGTCACACCTAGTCCAACCCCTGCCTCAGGCGGGATCAGCCTTGTCCAAACCATCCCAGACAATCCATCATCTCAGCACCCCCTGACACTGTCAACCCTGACAACACAGACTGAAAACTCTGACCTGCTGCAGGTAAAGCAGAGGACCACGGCAGCCAGTGTCCTGCTTCTGTGAAACGCTGTCAATATACATGCAGGAAACCCACGGCAGAGGGCCATGCCATGTGCTACTGAGGAAGGCACAACCCCCCACCGTCCATACCAATCTGACCACGGGGTAACATTCCTTCCTGGCCCCAAAGATGTCTGACTGAGCGAAGGGGCAAGGCCCTCTCGCCAGGAACGTCCAGCTTTGGTCCCAGCAGGAGTATTGGCACAGCCCCATGCCCAGCCTGAGCTGCAGCCAGCACCCAGTGCCTCTAAGGGAGTCTTAAAAACACCCTGATGCATATAGTAGAAAGCCAGGGTAGGGGCCGGGGTAAGGGCAACCAGCAAGCCCACAAGCATGGGAAATACCCGTAATAGAACAAGCACTGCTATGCCTAACCCCTCCCGGAACAGTGGTTGTTTAACCACTTCCTGAAGACCTCCAGTAACGGAGAGTCTGCACCTTCCCTGGCATCTGTTCCACTACCTCACCGCGCTAACAGCAAAGAATTTTTTCCAGCTATCCACTCTAAATTTATGTTGCTGTAACTTCAAGTCATTGGTCCATGTCCTTCTCTCTGCAGCAAGAGAAAAAGGTGCTTTCCCTCTTCTCTATGGCAGCCCTGCAAGTATTTGAAGACTGCTGGTATGTCCCATCTTAAGCATCTTTTCTGCAAGCTGAATATGCCCAGCTCCGCCAGCCTCTCCTATGCACATCTAGTATGGAAACGATCAGTTCATGCCCAGAAACTAGACCCAGTTCTAAACGACAGCTGCCGGGAAGCATGTCTAAAGCCAACACCAATGATCGCCTGTACTTGCTGGCTGGCATTGCACCACCTGATATCAGAAAGGCAGGAAGTCAGAAAGAAAGATCACGGCAGATGGAAGACCCCAGTCATCCACTCTATGATCACACTGAAGTAACTAAATGGCTTAACACACAGAAGACCAGGGCTGCGCTGCTGGACACGGGGACTGACAGAGTGACTGAGGTTATGGAAGGAAAGACTGTCCAGTCAGATGCTCTGAAATGGACCTGAAGCCCCAGGAGAGCCTTCCCCAAAGGGCTGATCTAGACGGGCAAACATGGCAATGCCCAAAACACTGCACATGCAAATGGGAAGATAACAAACAAGTATGATCAAATGGGGCTGCTCTCATGACACAAATGTATGAGTACGGTGAAGTGCAGACTACAAAGACGCTGCTCATTTGCCAGCTCCTTGGTGAGATCTGTACAAAGGGCGTCCTTGTTGCAGCAACGGAATGAGCCAGTGCTGGTCATAAACGAGATGTTTTTCCAGAACCATGCGCAAGGACATGAGAAGCAGTAGTCTCTCCTTATATGACTTGCCTTCCAACCCTCGAGCATCTTTGTTACTCTGGACCCTCTCTAACTTCTTCACGTTCTTTTCAAAATGTGGAGCCCAGAACTGCATCCAGATGTGGAGCCCAGTATCCAGATGAGCCCTGACTACGATCCCCTCCCAGTCTGGCCCCTCATACTTCTGTTGATGCAGCCCAGAATCACATTCACCTTCTGTGCAGCTGCATCACACTGCAGACTCCTAGCGAGTCTGATCTACCAAGACACCCAAGATCTTTTCCATAGAGCTGCCATGCAGCCAGGTGCACCCACTTTATAGTTGGGTTTTGGATTATTCCTCTTGCAGCACACCACCTTGCACTTGTCCATAGTGGACTGCATCCTGTTAGTTCCAGGCCAGCTTTCCAATCTGTCATGATCCTTCTGAAATGCACTCACATCCTCCAACGTGTTCACAATCCTTTCCAGTTTCACATTATCTACAAGCTTGCTCAAGAAGCTTTCTGTGCCAGCATCCAAATCATTATGTCCTGCCTGGTAATTACATGAAGGGGCCATTACCTCCATTTCTTCACAACCACTAGCTGTGACTCAACAAGCTGTTATGCCATAGGTACATGCCAAGCCATTTGCCACTTGTCCTGGGCACACCTGTACCTGCTTTCACTCCAGGGTAACACCTTAATTATCACTTTTGCCTTTGGTCACAACACTGCATGAGGACACAGCAAGCCTTGGCCCCATCTTGCCTTTGGCACAGCCCTGACTGAGGTCAACCACTCTCTTCCCTACAGCCACTGAACCCCGAGTACTGCAGTTTTCTACTCATTCAAGGCTGATCTAACCAGAAGCTGCAGAACACTGAACTGAAGTCACAGCAGGCAGCTGGTGGCCCCTTAACTCCCAGACCAGAGAGTACCTGGACCAGGTCTGAGAACAGAAATAAATGGTGCATCCATAATGAGTGCCCACTTCTCCTTCCCCAGTCACTGTCAAAGGATGGTGCACCCCGTGTCCCGCTAAGCCAGCCACAGCCAGGTGCAGGGACAAACTACAGGGAATGAGACAGCAGCATGGCCCCACATCACTCCTGTAGTCTCACCCTCTGCTTTGCAGGGGGCATGGACCAGTAGGAACCTTCCCCAGAAGGGGTCAAGGTCCTAGAGCTCCCTGGGCAGAGCTGGCTCCTGCCATCCCTAGGAGCAGCTACACTGTTCTTCAAGGGACTTCCCACACTACTTGTCTGACATCAGACACCAGCTGCAGGGGCCTCTGCTCACCTTGACATGGAACGTACAAGGCACCGCTAGTTGGCTGCAGCTGCCCAGAGGATAGAGAAGCTTGGATGGGGACAGCAGTGTTGAGGTGCTACAGAGGGTGCAGGAAGCCTCAGGACCAGCACAGCCCATGGGCACAGGCTAGGGAAAAAGAGGATCAAGCCACCCTCTCCCTCACTCACTGAAGCCTCTGCTCCAAAGACCACGGCC